TACCTTGCCGGCCCCTTGCCGGCCTAGGAGGGAATCCCCTCGTCCTGGGAGGCGAGGTTGTACCGTCGACCAGGAGGGAATCCCTCCTGGCCTGTTTTTTTTTTTTTGAAAGAAAAAAAGAAAAAAATTCTTATTATTTTTTTTTTGAAAGAAAAAAAACTTTTTTTTTCTTATATTATTATTTTTTTTTGATGGGGCCGTCCCATAGGACCCATGCCTGGGTCCTATGGGACAGCCCTGGTCCTAAACGCATATAAATATGCGTTTAGGACCACATATGCATATATTTGGCGTGCAGGCCTGCACGCCAACTGCAGGCCAATCTGCTGCTGGCGTGCAGATTGGCGTGCGCGAGGGGGGTTGGGCTTGCGCTTATCAAACCCCGTTGATTTCCACACTTGCCATCCCCCTTTCTACTTTCCCGGTTATCTTCCATTCTGTTCCAATATATTTTACCCCTTCCAATAATTCTACTCTCGCAAGTTTATGTAAAGGGAATCTTATCCACCCGGATAATATTCATAGTGCCCGTTGGTTGGGCAACCCCCAAGCCAATCAAAAGTCTCATGTTTCCATTATTGTCAATTTTCGTGACAAAAATCTCGTTAAAAAATAGAAAAAGGTTGTCTTTTTTTATAATTTATGTCTTAATGGTGCACATTTTAAGAAATCTCCAATTCAGTGTTTTCAATGCCTTGAGGTTGGTCATACCGCCCAAGTTTGTAAAAATACTCCGTTATGTAAATATTGTGGTGATCCACATAATTCTAATCAATGTTCTGTTGAGATTGCTAATGATAAGTGTGTTAAATGTATTCAGTTGGAAAAATCTAACAATCCCTCTTCTGAAGTTGATGTTGATAATGTTTGATTTTGTCATTCTCCCTTAATTATCAAATGTCCTCTCAAAAAGCTAAGAATTTCTGTCATAACATTATCAATCAATGAATAGTCACGACCCATTGTATCCAAACCTTTTTCCTCCTTTCAATTCCCATTCTGGTTCTTCAGAATCTTCTTCTTCCAACTTGAACTCAAACACCTCAGATTTCAAAATCCTTCAATTAAACTGTCATAATTCCTTTGATGTCACTTCTAATATCCTCAACTCCAATTCCAATTTTTCAATCCTGGCTCTTCAAGAAACCTAGATCAATCCCCATACCCTCAGACTTCCTTATTACAATAATTGGACCTGTATTCTTGATTCTAACCATTTGCCAATCAATTAAAACAACAAACACCACACCTGTTTTTTCTTCAGTAAATCCTTCTCTTCCAATGTTATTCATCCACTCTGTGACGGTAATCAAATTTTTTCAGCTATCAACCTTGACATTGATAACAATAAAGTTAAAAAAATTTGCCTTATTAATCTTTACAATCCTCCAAGAACATTTGAAGGCATCAGTCTTCTCAATGAATGGTTCAACTTACACAATGATCAACATACCCCTTCATTCATCTTTATGGACTCCAACCTCCATCATCGATTGTGGAATCCCTCCAATTACAGTCATACTCACCAGCAATCCAAAGAGTTTATCAGAACCTGTGGCCGAAATGGTTTCAAAATTGTTTCTGAAAAGGGTACCCCAACTTTCATCAACTGTTGCACTAGTTCTGCAGTTATAGATCTTACTTGGTGTAATTTTGCTGCTAATAAGCTTGTTCATTCATATAGTACCTCATCAGTTAATTTTGGTTCAGATCATCAATCTATTGTTCTTCAGCTCAATTTTAATCCTCACCCTGTTGTTTTCCCTCATCTTTCTGTTGACCTCAAACAGCTTGATGTCGAGAAATTTTGTAAAGATTTGTCAATTAACCTTGAGGTTCTTAATCAATTTCCTCTTAATAACTCTGTAGACATTGATGCTTTTGTTAAAAAACTAACCTCTTCTTTCCAAAATTCAATCGATAAACAAAAAAAAAATAGTCAACTCCAATTTGGTCAAATTCAAATTGTGGTGGGATCAGGATATCCTTTCGCCAATCATTCACAACAGAAACCAAGCTCAAAAGTGGATGTTGATTGCCCATTCGGTTCAGGCATGCAATTGCTATCATCACTGGCAAAAAATCATCAAGAACAAGGTTTTCAAACTCAAAAGGAATCATTGGCGTAAATTTTTGGCTGAAAGTAAAGATCATCAGATCTTTAAGGCGTATAAGAGCAACTCCACCGCGGCCCCTACTTCCGGGCCGTAAAATCTTGATGATCGGGTCCACGCAGCCAGTTTTACTGTCTCAAACTGCTGCGGCATACACCGCGACTCGGAGGAGTGGTTTGTAAAATTTAATGACAGGTGTGCTGCCAAGGTCGGTGTGGTGTGTGAGGGTTGGGTTTCACATATTGTTGTTGTGTGAAAGTGTTGTATGTAGGCCGTAGGTGAGTCCCTAGGAGTCCCTACATGTGAGGACTCGCGAGGAGATTTTACGGCCTGCCGTAGATTTTAGCGACCGCGGTGGGTTGTGTCGAGTCTGTAAATTCCACCTACGGCCCCGATTTACGGCCCGCGGTGGAGTTGCTCTAAGTTCACTAAACCCAGTAGCAGTGGTAGTATTGCACCGTTGCTGAATGAGGATAATCAACTCACCTCCAACAAAGAAGAACAGGCTCATCTTCTTTTTAAAGGTACCTTGGAAGTTCCAATTAATTGTGATCTTGATGACGTTCATATCCCTTCTTTTCCAAATTCGCTCCCTTTTCCTAATATTTCCTCCCTCGAGGTTGACAACATTTTGTCCAAGTTACCTAAGAAAAAAGCTAGAGTTCATGATGAGATTGCTAAGAAAACTCTCATCTGGAGTAAAAGTATTATTATTCCGTATCTTACCATTCTTTTTTCTGCTTGTCTTTGGTTGGGTTATTTCCCAATCCTCTGGAGACACACCACTACAGTTATTATTCGCCCAACGGATAAGGATTCTTACCGG